CTGCGCGAGGCTGTGGCTTCGCCTTCCCCCGAGAACTCTGAGGCTCTGGCGGAATGAAGCCCAACGCGAACTGAGCCTCCTCCGAACGAGGCGGGCCTCATACTCTCGACTGTGAGCGCGCGGTGGCGACTGGCCTGGGAGCCTCGCGCGCACGCGGCGGCCTCGCCGGCAGGGGCGTCGACGCAGGCACTGCCCCGAGCGGGCCACCTCGGAATCTGCCTGCGCGGGACGTCGGCCCCCGTCAGACGAGAAGGCGCTTGCACGACGATGATGCCGGCGGGGCGCCTGCCCTGCGCAGCAAGACGGGCCCGATCTCTCTCTCTCTCTCTCTCTCTCCCTCTCTCCAGACGTCGGCGCGTCGGCGCGGGGCCCCTCGATGTCTGCGAGGCAGCTCGGCGTGCCGCCCCGCGCGCCGCGTCGGCGCAGTCCGCCGCGCACACCAGGACACCGAAGTCACATCTCATCGCCCCGTCGAGCGCTCGAGGCCCGTCCGTCGGAGCGCTCTCCTTTGCACAAAGGCCCCGCGAGTGGGCCCGCCACGTGCGCCCCGGGAGGGCGATGAGCGGCGAGCGCTGGACCCACGCGGCGAAGCACAGGGTCGCGAGCGCCCTGGCCTCCCGGGGCGCCCCCGCAGACCTCCGGAGGATCATGGGAGCGGCCGGCCCCGAGACAACGAGTCTCCAGAGCCCCCTCCCCAGCAGAGGGGCCCCCCCGAGAGCTTTTTCACCCATAGGGCGGGGGGGGGGGGCTCGAGTCCAGGGGGGCGGGAACTAAACCGCGCCTCCAGAAACGCGAAGAAGCCTGAGACTCAGCAACTGCCTCGGGCGGGATGTCGCCAGACTCCACGTGAGCACGGGCGCCAGCGTTTACTGTCGCGAAGTCTGGATTGCTACCCGCGTTCGTTGGTTCACAACCCGCCAATCGCCAGCGATGCAAGTAGCTGTAATTGGTGCCCCTCGCGAGCTTGCATCAAATCCGGCGCCGTGTTTCTGCGGGGCAGCATGTCCACGCCGAACTCGAGTCCAGCGCCACAGAAAATTTCATACGCATCTGTCCACTGCTTGAGCTCGAACATTCCCTGAAGCTCGTCCGAAAGAGGGGCGGCCTGGTCTAACGCCTGGCAATCGCTGCCATGAAACTGCCATGCAGCAAACTCCGCGAAGCCGTCATTGGGCACGCCCCAGTCTGTAGGAGACTTCGGGGCCCAGCCAGCTTCGAGCAGCCGCAAGATCACTGGCGTATCCCTTCTAGTAGAACGCTAACGGTGTGAAACTGCCGATGCCCACGCTCTCTCGATCGATCGTCGCAGCTGAACCTCAGACAACCAAACCGAAGGCCACTCTGAGACGGGCTGCCGTGGAACGAGGGGCCCTGAATCACGCCCAGGGTGCCGAAGAGGAAAGAACGCTGTGAGACACCGACCTCGATTCGACGATCCAATTGCCGCTCTTGATCGGCGACGTTGCATCGGCATCGCCGACACGAACTGGCCATGTACTTGGTGCCTGTGAACTGGGGAAACCAGAAGGTACCGACACCGCTACTCCCTGGACCTCTCCCGGGGTGCGTTCTGACAAGGACTTCGGGGCCAATCCAGCGGTGGCCACGAGGGCCCCCCAGGAGGCCCCCAAAGGGGAAAGCGGGCGAAGGGTAGAGTGATGGGTGCCCCTTTCGTCCTCCGAGCGAACCGCTGCAGCTCGCGGGTCTGCGCCCCGGGGTCTGGTGGGCGCCTGCCGCCAACGAGCGGCGCGCGCGAAACGCCGCAGTGGGGGGCCACATGCGAACCCTACCCCTGCCCCCCACGGCTTCTGAGGGGGAGGGTGGGGTTCACTTCGCTCGGGAGCTCCTGAGCGAAGTGAACTCCACCCTCCCTCTCAAAAATCATGGGGGGCAGGGGTAGGGTTCGCATGTGGCCCCCTACCCAGCCCGGCGCGGGCCCTGCCCGACTCTGGAGGCCACACGGCCCGGCCGCGGCTCGCCCGCGCCGCCGTCGCAGGCCTGCGGAGGCCGACGCCAGCGCCGGCATCGGCGGCGTGCCTCCGCCGAGGGAAGAAGGCCCCGATCTCGGTGGTGGCGGTGAGGCGTCTGGCTTCCGAGGAGGCCGGAAGAGCACCACCCACACGGAGATCCAGGATCCTCTTCCCCCAGTGGAGGCAACCCCTCTGCGTGGGTGTTGGTGCCCACTCCCAAGCCTGCAACGCCGCCCGCCGCTCGCGTCCACGCCTGGGCGCGCGGACCGCAGCGCCGCGCGCGCGGGCGCGCCCCTTTGCGCCTCGGGGCGCGCGCGGCGGCCGCCGCGTCGGCGAGGCGATCTCGGCCGTGCCGTGGAAGGGGCCTCTCGAACCCCGCCGCGGTGGAAGCAGCGCCGCGAAGCGAAGCGGACCGCGCGCGCCGTCTGGAGCCGGCCACGTGCTGCGAAGTCGTCAATCCAGACCCGCCCCTGCGAGAGCTGTGCTTCTCGCGGAGGCGAAGCCACGCGAAGGCTGCGAGGCGCCCGGCGAACCTCGCGCCGTGCCCGAGCCCCTGCGCCGCCGAGCGAGCCGCCCGCAGAGGTTCCGAGACGCGAGCTGCTCCAAGATGCGAGGGGCGAGGCAGAGCTGGAGCTGGGGCGGAGGCGCATTCTGCCACGGCCCCGCACTCTATTGATTTGAAACGTATGCAATGTTCAGTGAACATGGCCACGTGGAAGGCGGAGGCGCGTCTGCACCTCGTCCTCCACGGCGCGGACGAACATCTCCCTCAAGGCGCTGTTCCCCAGGATGGTCGCGTCCCAGCGGGCCGCCTCCACCTGCTCTAGGGACCGCCCTATCCCCTGCGCCTCCCCGGCCATGGTCCACGCCCGAGCCCGCGTGGCGATCCGATGACTCGGTCGCCGCCTGCTTTCTTGCCCAAGGGTTTGCCCGCGGCGCGCAAAAAGGTCGCCGCGGCCATGATAGGCCCCACAGGATCACGCGAAATAGATTTCGCTGGTCCTGGAAACCCTCGTCGGGCACACGTGGGGAATTCCGCAAAAAGTGCCTGCATGTATGGATTATTGCTTGTGTTCTGAGGAACTGAGCCACGTGGCTGGTCTGGTGGCCATGTGTTCGACGTCGCCGCCCCGTCGCCGCCTCGTCGCCGCCCGTCGTTTGGGCAGCGTGGCTGGCGTGGCGGTTACGTTGCCGTCGTCGCCGCCCCGTCGCCATTTCGTCGCCGCCCGTCGTCCGGCCAGCGCGGCCAGTCTGGCGGCTGGGATGCCGCCGTCGCCGCCCCGTCGCCACGTAGACTGCGCGACGTAGTTAGCGCCGCATTGAGCGCGCCGCACAGAGTGCGCCGCGAAGACTGCACCACTTGGATTGCACGACGCACATCTTGCACCACAGCGACTGCCCCACATAGATTGCACCACGTAGGTGACACATCGCAGGGTGTAAAGCATATATTGCTGCACGCAGACTGCATCAGGTCGGCCGCGCCATCTAGAGTGATTGCGCACCGCATAGGTGGCACCATTAAGCTCGCACCGGATATACTGCACTGCGTACATTGCACAACATGCATTGCACCGCATATCTGGTCCCACATATGCTACACCACGCCGGGGGTACCATGTCGGTTGCACCTCATACGTCGCGCAGAACATAGAGCGCACCATATAGACTGCACCACAGATGCTGACCAACACCGGTTTTACAACATCGACGGCGTCACATACGTTGCACCACACATGTTGCATCACGTAGATTGCTCCGCAACAATTGCACAACGCACATGGCGAAACATATATTTCGAACTGGATTGCGCAATTACTGCGGCATGCAAGTTGCACCGGAGACATTGCTCCGCAACATAACTTGCGCAGCGCCCATTGCTTTAGAAAAACACTGCTTGGTTTCCACGCTGGCAGACATCTGTTGGGAAGCACTGGTCCATGCCAAGACGGACCCGAGGTCGCATGCGAACAAAGGGCCTCGCGGACAACGTTGGCGGATGGAGGTGCTAGCTGCTCGACTTCAGCTCAGGCCCGAGCGCGCGCGCGCGCTGCCAGAGTCAAGCCGCAAGATGCAACGCTCGACCGCGATGAATAACGATATCGTTCCGCCTTGCGGTCTACATTCTCCATTGGATGCGCCGCAACCGGATGCCCTGAAGCGCGCTCGCGCAACCCGCCCGCTCGGGAACTAGATCTTCGATGCTTCTGTGAACCGAACCCAGGGTCCCGATGAGATTGCGCCACTGGTGAAACACTCTGAGGGTTGCAGCAGCATCTCTGTCGCGAGCGCGCCTCCCCGCCCTGGAGGCTCGCTCCGCCGCGACAACGAGCTACTCGGCATCCGACTCAACGATGCGCAAAAATTCGTTGGGGAACCCGCCCCGCGCATCGACGCTGACTGGAAAAACTGATGCCTGGAAGTGCGCTAACTGAGCAACGCCTGCCTTCTCCGATGTCGCGGCGCCCGCTGCGCCGCGCTGCGCCATCGACGCCGCCGCGTGGAAGCGCTGCCTCGCAGCGGCTGCTGGCGCGCACGATCGGCCTGATTGACTGTCTAGTCTACTCTCTAACTGTGCGCTGGCATTCCGAGACCTACTGATTCCCGCCATCTCGCGGCGACGCAATATAGCGGTCTCGTCGGCGCCCGCCCATCCAGCGCGAGCATCGCTGGCGCGCGGGGCGCGGGCAACGCCGGCTTGGAGTGCAAGCGACCGTCTGATAGAAGGCAACGCGTCGGCAAAGCACGCGCGCGCCAGGAGACTCGGGCCGGGGCAGTCGCCCACGAAGACGGACGGATAGCAGAGGAACGAAGAGGGGCAGGAACGGCAGAGGCATCAGCAGGGGTGAAACTCTCGGCCCCACCCTCAAAGTGTCCACAGCAGCCTGGGGCGATCTGCTGGGGAGGGCCCTCTAACGCCCACATTGCCACTGCCCGCGCTACCACCGCCCCCATCCAGAGGGGCCCGACTTGGCTGGACAAACGCGGGTGCGAGGCTGATTTTCCGACTCATGTCTGCCTCGGCGCGGCCCTATCGCGATCGCCGTGAGAACGGGGGCCGTCGCAGGGTGGAAACGCGACTCGCCTCCCCTCTCGGGCCCGAACTTGAAAATATGAAAATTGCAGCCCGCGGCCGACGCCTCGACCCCGAACGAGCGGGACTGGGGGGGTCGGGATCTCCAGGGTCGGTCGCACCTCGCCTTGGACAAAAAGCCAGCATGCGCATCCTCGCACTCAGCTCTGATGCGCTCGCACTTTTTTTCTGCGCCGCTGCCTGCCCCCCAGCTCTCTTCGAACTCGACGTGGATCCTGCGGCGGCCGAGGCCGGAAGTCGAGCAACAAGCGGCAATCCGGCTGCCACCTAAGGCGTTCGCTTCGTGGGCTGCTGTTGCCGCTCTTCTCGAGCGCGCTTCCAAACCGGTGCGAGGTGCCCGCGGCGCGTCAACTACGCCACTGATGCTGAGCGTATACGGAATGCAGCACTCTGAGTCCATTGCTGCAAGACCGAGATACCAGCTGCCAGAAATTCCCGAGGCACGCATGCTCGACACCAGCCCTGCGCATGACCGCGCCCGCGCGCATACAATAATGCGCTGCGCCCTAACCGCCCAACATCCACGTTGAAGTCTTCGGTCGCTTGCCAAGGAGATGTCGCCGACAAGAGAAAGGCGCCTCGTTTGGAGAAGCGCTGAGCGCTGCCGCCCAGAAACTGCAGCGATGGGCCAGCATAAACCAATTCCAAGCGCAGTGATCGGCAATTTGCGGGTGTCAGCGTCGGCATGAATCCGTCGAGTGCATCTGGGCCCTCTGCGCAATCACTGCTAACTCCACGAACGGGGCCGGTAAAAACAAACATACGATGAACGTCTGGAGGGCCCTGCGCCAAGAGAGTATCCCCGCCCATGTTGGCGCGCCCTGCCGTCGCCTCTGAAGTCGATCTTCCAATGCCCCTCGCAGGTTATCATAATACTTAGAAGTTGAAAACCCTTGCCGGTCGTGCCCACTTCGCCCGAGTGCGACCGCGGATCAGACACCCCACGATGCCGATGGAATCACGTTCGCTCCGCATCTCAGGGGGGTCCAGGAAGTCCCGGTGCCGAGGTAGGTGAAGCTAGTGTAATGCCGTGTGCTCACCGACTCACGGCTGCTGGAATATGTAAACAGCGGCGTCGGCGATAGGGCGGCAGCAGCAATCGCTCCATCTGCTGCTGCCGTCGCCGAGCCTCACTTGTCGTCGTCCAAGGGCACAGCCTTGGCCGCTGCCGCACCCAGAGCACTGGCACACCTAGCTGAGGAGCTCCATGTTCTGGATCTCCGCCTCCGTGGGCTGACCCGCTGCCGGCGCCGCTGGGGATGGCGCTGAGGCTGGTGCTGGTGATGGCGTGGCCTGTTGTCCAGCCGCCTCGCCGCGCACCTCGCCGCGCGCCCCTCCCTCGGCTGCGCTTGCCGCGCCCATGCAGCATCGCTCTCGTCCCCGTTCGACTTCCGCTTCCTGCTGAGCCTGTCCTATACATTTTGCCTGGGGGCAGGGGATGTCGGCTCGCCACTTGGCCACCTGCTCGGCCACGGTGACCACGCCCTCCTTGACCGCCAGCAGCTCCCTCACCGACTTCGTGAGCTCCGCGCTCTCCTGCAGGTTGCAATCCAAAGTGCCGGGCTGCTTGAACATATTTTCATCCCGTGTGGCATTGATCATGGACCCGTCTGGAGAAACAAAAAAAAAAAAAAACTGATTTGGAGCCGCTCGAGCCGCCGCGCGAGTCGCTGGAGTCGACCTCCCCGCTGATGATGACGACGCATGCCTCGAAGGCTTTCCGCCACCTCTGCTGTGCGCCTGCTGACCCTGGCGATCGCAAGCGCACGGGCGGCCTTATCCCTTTTGGCCATCGCCTTCTCCTGGCACTTGGAGGCCTGGGCGGCGGCCTGGGGATGCTTCGGCGAAGCGTCGCGCCATGCGGCCTCCGCGCGGCGCGCCGCCTCTGCTGCGCGCACCTCTGGAACGGACTTGGTCGCCGCTCGCAGGGTGGCCGCAATTCGCTGCGGCAGAACCTGCTTGCTGGACGGGTCGGTCAGCAACGCATTGGCGGACGCGGGCGCGTGGAAAATGCTAGCGCTGTCTCGCAGCGCTCCCGCTTGGGAAACGGTCTGCATGTCTGCTTGCTGTTCGCTGCCTCCGCCATCTCACGTTGGCTGTGGATTGTGCACATTCACTGGTCCGTTACACTTGCCACGCTGGCCCGCGTTGGCCAGGATGTTATGCATGCGCCCGGACGCGCCGCATCCTGCACATGTGCTGCACGGGCGTGAGATCTTCCAAACAGAAACACGTACAGGACCCCGCTGCCGCAAGCACAACTGCCTATCCGAAGAGAAAGCGTGGCCATAACGTGTGCTGCCCCTCAAAGCAGCACGGGGAGGCGCGGGTATGGGTGTCGAGCTGCCAGAATGACACTCAAGGCCAAGTGGCTTGTGTGGAGGAGGGAGGGAGAGAGGGAAAGATAAGAAAAGCCTGCATCCTCCTTCCCGTCATCCTCCTCCGTCTCTATACATGTTTCCTCACTCCCCCCTCCCGCTCCTTCTCCTTTCCTCTTCCCCTCCACCTCCTCACCTCCCCCTCCTCCCCTCCTCCTCCTCCTCCTCCGCCTCCTCTTCGTCGTCGTCCTTCTCCTCGATCCCTCTGTCCTTCTCCTCCTCCTCCTCCTCCTCCTCCTCCTCATCCTTTTCCTCCTCCTCGTCCTCGTCCTCCTCCTCCCCCTCCTCCTCCTCCAGTATTGCCCTGGCCGAGCCGCGGGGAAACTCCTGAGGCTGCGCGTTGGCCTCCCGCGGGCGGGCGGAAGCCTGCGCCAGGCCGCTCCGTATGGACACGCGCTGATCCTGTAGGGGGACGGGGGATATTTCAAGATGGGGCGCAAGGTCCCCCCCTACCCTGAACCTCTGCCTCCACCTTCTCCTCCCCATCCTCTTCACCCTCCTCTTCCTCGTGCGGCTCCTCCCCCTGCTCGTCCTGCTTCTCCTCCTACCTCGTCGTGGTCAACGTCCTCATCTTCAGGGTCGGCGGCACCGGCCGTAAGGCCTTCGCACACAGACCGACTCGGCGACGCAACCACAGACTCAAAGGGTGGCTCGGGCACTTGCTGAAGACTGCCAGCGCGACCCAGGGGCAGGTCAGGGCTCATCTTTGCAGGAGGTCGGCAGCACATCCAAGCCCGAGCACTTGGCCTCCATGGTAAATCCCACTGATGGTCGGAGGAGGAGGGGGAGAAGGAGGAGGATGAAGAGGAAACGGACGAGGAAGAAGAAGAGGCGTCAGAGCTGTTCCTAAGCTCTGGTCTCGGGGAGCCTGCTTAGTCGTTCGTTCGGTCTCTGCTGCTTTGCGACAGAACCTGCGGAAAATTGGCCAGCGTGGACTTCAAGCAATGAGTTCTAACACCCTTGCTCAGCAATGTGGTGCACGGTGTTTGGTGCACGCCATGTGCGCTTGAAGCAAGCTGGCGCAATCCATCTGATGTAGGCGCGATGGTGGCTGCCGTGTCGTGCAAGCAGCGTGTTCTTCGAGATATATGTGGTGCAAACAAACTGCGTGGTGCAAGCTATGTGGGGAAGCAACTGCACCGCAAGCTGCGTGGTGTTAGCTCTCAGGCGTGGGAAACGCTGCACAATAGATGGGGCAGAAGCGATGTGCTGCAAGCGGCGCGAGGCGCCCACGGCCGCCAACCAGACGAGACCCCGACCGACCCAGCCACTGCACGGGGCGCCTACGACGCGCCCACGGCCGACCATTTGGGGATACGTCGACACACCCAGCCAGACTGCGGGGCGGCGCCCACGAGGATCCCGAGAGGGGCAACTCGAAGCAACGCTCCGAGCCCTCAAGGTGACCCCCGAAACCGCCAGCATGCCCCCCAGAGGACCCCAAACAAGCCACTGGTGGCCCAGAAGAGGCCCAAAAGAGGCCCCAAGAGGCCCAACATGGCCCTCCCCCAAGAGGGACCCCAAGACACCCCAAAACCACATCCAAGGGGCTTCCGAGAGGCCTGCCCAGAGATCCCCACAAGCATCCACGAGACCGCTGACCTACAACCCAAGCGCAGTGAAGAGATGGGCCGAAGGCCACTCGACTTGCTTGGCACGGGGACGGAACGCGCAACTTGTACTACGATAGCGCAAGATCGCTGGCTTGTCCTGTATTCCTCAGCTTACGCCCTCCCGTCACCTCGCCATTGCCGGCTCCCTGGGAAGCCTTAGGGCCATCTTGAGCCGCCTTGGAATGACCTCGGGCTGTCGTCGGGCCTTCTTGAGCGGTCTTGAGTCCCTTCACGGGGCATGTCAAGAAGATGTTAGAAACACATGTTTAAACATGCGATGGTGGATCTGGACCATGTGTGTTGAGGATGGCCCTGGCGGCCTCGCCATGTTCGTCTGTCGCGGGGGCGCTCTGAAACAGTTTGGGCTGTCCGCTGTCCGAATTTCGTGTTCCCGTCTGGAGCGCCCGCTTCCCAGAACTACGTGCTGTCCAGCTTGGACCGCGCGCTGTCCGAATGTCGCGTTTTCCAACCTTGGTCTGCCCATCTGCATCGGGAACTGTCACGCAAGGGACACGTATGCAAGAGCCGTATAGTTTCACCGCTTGGACCGACTGCTTTTCAGAACAGTGCGTTTTCCCAATGTGGACCGCCCGCTGCCCGAATGTCACCGTTTCCCCGTTTTTGCCACCCGCTGTCCAGAACCATGCGCTGTCCTGGTTTGGACCTAGGAGGCTCTTGGGCAATCTTCGGGTCTTATTGTGCCGCCTTGGGGCCCTCTTGGGGGCCTCTTGGGTCGTCTTGGAACGGTCTCGGCGGCATCTTGACACCCCCCCTTTGCTTGTCAGAAGCGCTTGCAAATACGAGACGTTCAAAAACTTACAGGGGATCGCTGAGTTGTGCTCTTTGACGTCATCTCGGAGACCCTCTTGGAGCTCTCTTTGGAACTTATTGGAGCTCCGTGGGCGGTCGTGAAGCTATCTTGGGCGATCTTGCGGCGCTCTTGAACTGTCTCGGTGCCTGTTGGACGCTCTGAAGCAGTCTTGGCAGTCATCTTGGACCGCCTTGGGCCCTCTTGGAGAAAGACTGAAGCCACCATCGGCTATATTGGGGCTCTCTTTGGCCGTATTGTTGGGCTATGTTGGGCCGCCGCTCCATTGTGACTCACCCCTCGCACGTTTCGGAGCCCCATAGGGGGGCCCCACCAAAGCCCCAAAAGGCAGCGCCCGCATGGCGCCGCCGCCCGATATTTGGCACACCCCTCACACGTGTCGCGGCCGCTGATGGGAGCTCCACGGAATGCCCCAGCGGCAGCGTCCGTATTGCGCTGCCGCTCCATTCGGCGGTGGACAAACCTCCCTTTAGTACACCTCCCCTTAGTGAAAACGGTCTGGGACCGAAACCGACGGACCTGGACCCGCAAAAATGACGGCCGCGACGCCCTCTCGCGAACCGAAAACGGCCAATTCCTTAATCGACGTGTCAGGGTAGGAGGTCTGTCCACCCCCGATCCATTTCCCCCACCGAAGACTTCAATGACAACGCCCTCCGTGCGGCGCCTCACCCGATCCGGTCACCCCTCACGCGGCTCGTGGCCTCCTGGGAGGCCCTCCCCCCTTCTTCACGCCCGCCCTGCGGCAATCACACCTGCACATGGTTGGGCCACTCGACCGGAGAAGGTCCCCAACCGTCCAGTGGTGCTGGGAACTCGTTTTGAAAAGCCAGCGCCCCGCAGCCCACCTCGTCCTCCTCCTCCCACTGCCCCTCCTCCAATCCCTGCCTCCGCCTCCCGCATGCGCATGTCGGCGCACGCCTCATACGCTTCGTGGCCCCACTGGGAACTCCGACGAAGGCCTAGATGGCAGCGCCCGCAGGGCGCCGCCGCCCCCACGTCGGCACGCCCCTCGCACGCTTCGTTACGAGAACGGCGCCCATGCACCGCAGCATGTCTGAACTCCCTGCGCGCCCCCCGCCAGCGCAGCACGGCGCGCAGCGTGTCCGTCTCTGGGAGCCGCACCGCCATGCACCGCGCCGCCTCTTGGTCGAGGCTCGACGGCACCTCGAGAGGCGCCGGCGCGGTGGGGTGCACGCCTGCCGTCCGCGGACTCGTGACCCGATCGGCAGCTCCGCAGAACTCGCCATCGCTCGGACGTCCATTCCCTGTGTTTTTTTGTCGGTTTCGTGCGTGGCTTTTTTTTTCGCCACATGATCGAGGATGCTCCTCGATGGTCCTCGCCGAAGAAAAAATGCACACGTCCGAGCGATGCCGAGAGAAGGCCCAAGCGGCAACGCCCGCATGGCACCGCCGCGGCTTCCGCTCCGGCGCGCGCCGCCCACGCGCTGCGCAGCCCCACAGAAGGGAGCCCCACCGAAGGACCCGAGTGGCAGCGCCACGCCCGCCCGGCGGCGCCACGCCCGCGTCGGTCGCCCCTGTGCTCCGTGGCCAGATGCAGCCAGCCCAAATGATGAAAGGATGCGCGGTGAGGACGTGAGGGCATCGGACGGCCATGTTTGAAGGGGCCCTCTGGAACACACGAGCAGATACACACAAGCAAGAAGATTCCCCCAATGTTCCCATATCTTCTGGGCTTCTGTCTTCCTCCCCACTGCCCATGTTTTCCTACATTTTCTGGGGAACCGACGATTCATTGTGTCTGTGTGTTTCTTCCCCTCCTGAATGTTGGCACTTTGTGAGCGGGGCGCGGTTAGCGAAAGCGGCCAAAAATTGGGCGAAGGGGGATGATGCAACGGTAACCTTGGAATGTCGCTCACCCTTACTGTGCGGGTTGACTGTGGGAGCTCCCCCTTCCTCCCACCTGCCCTGCGGCAGTCACATCTGCATGCGACTGGGCCCTTCGCCAGGCTAATTCTTGAGGATGCCCCTGGCGAAATCGCAATGTTGGGCAAGACCAAGGCCAAGACGTCGGCCAAAAAAACGATAACGACGCGGGAAACCGAGAGTGCTCAAAAAGCGCATGTGTTTGACTATGCGTGGCCCCCTTGCGACATTCCGGAGGCCCCCTTGGGACATCTGGGAAACATGCTGGATGTCAACCTTGGTTGGCCAACGTGGGACCTCGGGCGCAAGATTCGGGGCCTGCATTGTGCCGTATCCAGCCTAGCGTGCCAGACGGGACCGCGGGCATCGTGGCCCCGCTGCTGAGAGGGGCTAGCCCGCTTTAGTAAAGCTTAGAAATAGCCTTCCGGGGGGGGGGGGTATGGGTCCACAAAGAAAACAAGAGAGGCCCACATTAATAAGGGCTCCCATCTTCGCGCTTCGCGCTGCGCGAAGCGCGGATAACTTCGCGCTCTCGCGCCGCCTCCCAGGGGAGGAGAGGAGGATGAGGAGGAATCAGAGCCGAACCGCGAAGCGCGAAGAAGTTCGCGCCCTCGAAGGCGCCCTTGATTCATTTAAACACTACGTCTTGCCATGTGTGTGGACCTTCTCGTCGTTTCCCCTCTCATGGGCCCCCGAAGCCTCAAGACGGCTCCAAGAGGGGCCTGTAAGGCTCCAGGGCAGCCCCAGAGGTCGCCAAGAGCTTCCCAAGAGGGTCCAACGCCAGCTCCAAGAGGACCTTCTGGTTTCTTGCTCCAGGCGTGGGGGGGCCCGATCAACTGCGCCAAATTGTTTGATCGATGGCCTCCAGGACAGTTCCGAGTGCACTCGAAAGGTGCACAAAAGGGCCCCAAGAAGGCCCCAAAAGGTTCCCTGATGCAGACAAGGTTACCGCAAAAGAACCTCGAGACGGCTCCAAGAGGCCTCCAGAAGGCTTCGAAAGGTGGCCACTGCCTGGCCTGCTCGGGCTGACCCCAGTGTCGGTTTGACTGGCGCCTCTCTCTTTATTTGGCTGATGATCCCCACCGTCTCGCGATTAATTGCATGGGCATCGCTTCTGGAGGCAAAGCGCTAATCGATAATTCCATGTCTTCGGAGCTCCTCTAAATTCGCCGCTATGCGCATCTCGAGCTGCTCGTGGGCCACGGCGATTGCCTGTGGGAACCCCGCGCGAGGCGATATCAACCAGGGCAGCCCCTCCACATCGTCCTTCTCATCCTTCTCTCGGCCCCTCCTCCTCCTCCTGCTGCTCATCCTCCTCCTCTCGTTCATCCGGCCCCCTCTTTGTACATGACCACTCCGTCGCATCGCCCGCCGTGCTGGTAAGGAAGGTCGAGCGCTTCGTCTGAGACTTCTTCACAGGGTGTGTTCCAAAAGATTGAATCTCCCCCAGACAGCTGTACGGTTTGAAAGCGGATCATTATCAATTCACCCCAGTATCTGCGAGACAAGTCAGGCTAGTGATCCAACTATGAGGCGTACACCAATTGACATAGCAACTACTGACGCATAGAAAACGGCTGCGGGGCAAAACGACAATCTGGACTCCAACGGTAAAATTGCGATTCTGACTCGGATCGCTCGAGGATTTCTCTGGCAAACACTGCTTGCCGAACCCTCCAAAATCATACACCGCAATACTCGATTCGAGATCTTAGATTTGCCTCTAACCGACCAGGACGCATTCAAAAATATACCCGTTCGCTCTCCGTGTGCAGTATTGGCCCAGACACGCGCGCTGCCTTGTGTGTGGAGCAGCAGCCAGCGAACCAGCGGGGAGATCGTGGTGGGCGATGCCTATCCAGCTCTGCCGTGGAAATGTGAAGCTATGGCCTCAGCGCCGCAAACGTTCGCGGTGAGCGTCTGAGACAAAGCTTCGGCTGGGCGTGCAGTGCTTCCACCTTTTGATCCTCGCTCCTGCGCGCCGCGGGCACTCGCACGCAAACCTTGTCACGGCAGAGCGCATGAACACGAGGTGGATATGTCAATGTGTGGCACCTGCCTCGGCGCCACGCACGCTCGCCCTGCAGGCACGCAGTGTCAAGACGGGTGGACGCGACGGACGTGGATTCCAGGCTGTTACTCGCGCGCCAACGCCGCGGACATGCGTCGCAGCTGCCTGCAACAGCCGCACGGGTGGAGAGTGGCTCTTGTTCAGCGCTGCGCTTATTGCTCGCCTGAGTCTTCAGCTGCATGGCCCATACTTGCGACAGCATGTGGATATTTCGCTGCTTGTTCGTGGATCTGTCGCTGCTTAAACCCTTTCGCATACATGATGGCCCCGGCGAGAAACCGCAGCAACTACGACCGTAAACAAGCTCCTGTTCAAGGTCGGGGTATCGCGTAACACCTATCAGACTTGTATGAACATGCCAGCAAGTCTGGCCGACCATATTGTATTATCCAGAAGGCCCGCGGTGCGACCACGAGTCTCGCCCTCCTCCCCCGTCCTCTTCCTCCTGCTCCCTTCTGCTGATCCTGTTTTCTCTTCCTCTTCCTGATCCTTCCTCTTCTGCTCCATCTCCTCCTTCATGCCTCCCGCCATCCCTAACCGTGAACCTCGGAGAATAACCCCCCCGGGAATGTAAAGTTCGGGGTCTTCGGGGAGATAATAAAAGTTGCCCGCCAGAGCCAGCATAAAGAGATATCAAGAGGAACAAGCCAAAGATATCTTGAGGATCCTTGGTCTTAGGTCCTCTATGATACATCCTCAACAATGATTTGTCTCGGTTGAGACATCCTCAATGAATTGCTTGTTTCGCTTGAGACAACCTCGAACTATTTGTCTGTTTCGCTTGAGACATCTTCGAATTATTGCTTATTTCGCTTGAGAGATCCTTGAAATCATTGCTTGTTTCGCTTGAGGCATCCTCGACAAATCTCTGAGTTTCTATAGAGATTCCTCATGTGCCTCGTTTTCCCTAGATAATCAACCACAGCGATAAACAAGTTCAGGGGGCAGGGGGAGGAGATGAAAGATAGAGAGATACATAGAAATATAGAAAGAGAAGAGGAGGTAGAGGAGGAAGAGGAGGAGGAGGAGGAAGAGCAAGAGAAAGAGAGGATAAGGAGATAGCAAACATCCAAATTTTAAAACGTAGTATGTTTAATTTGTAAGCGCTTAATGAAAATTAAAAGTTTCATCTGCTCGTATAGGGTAGCTCACGTGCCTCGTTTCCCAGGATAATCAACCCCAGCGATAAACAAGTTCAGGGCGCCAGAGGGAGGAGGAGGAGAAAGAGATAGAGAGACAGAGAGAGAGAGAGACACACAGAGAAAGAAATAAAGACAGAAATAGCTACAAAGAGACAGAAGAACATTGGTTTCGCTTAATACATCCTGAACAAAAACGCGTTCGCTTCGCTTGATGTTGTTATCTCAACATGAGAAGGAAGTAACCTCGATGACGAACTTTTCCCGTGATAATGAAGTTCGGCCTCCGCGCCCCCGCGCCCCCGAGCAAACTCTTATTGGACGACGATAAAAAACTCTAACTACTTAAGGGGGGGGTACATTATTATCCTGGGCATGGGGTTATCGCCATCCTCTCTCCGTTTCTCTTCCCTCCCTCCTTCCACTGCGCCGTCCTTCCCCTCCTTCCGTCGGCCCTACTTTGTTCCTCGCCCCTTCTCCACGCCCTCGTGCTCGTGGCCGTCGCTGTTCAAAATCCTCGTCCTCGTACTCCTCCCCTGCCATTACCAGCCTCGAACGTATCCCTATCCCTAAGGTTGACACGCCAAAAGGCGATGACCATCTTAGGGGTTCGCCCTCAAAACATAAGGACATCCCTAAGATTGGCATCGTGGTGAGGAGGTGCCCAGCTTAGGGATAGGGATATGTTCCAGGCTGGTAATGCCAATCCTCCCCTGCTCTTCCTCCACCTCCGCCCGTCTCTCCCTCCCCCTCTTCCGACTCCACTTCCGCAGCGCCGTCGGGCGGCCCCAGCCCGCGCAGCCGAGCCGTCGCGCGCGCGCGCACGCCGCGGGCGGAGGCGCGTTCCCTGCAACTCCCTTCTCCTCCCCCTCCTCTCCCCCCTCCTCCTCCCTCCTCCCCCCCCTCCTCCCCCCTCCCCCCTCCTCCCTCCTCCCTCCTCCCTTCTCCTCCTCCCCCCTCCTTCTTCTTCTCTTTCCTCCTCCTCCTCTCCCCCTTCTCTTCGCTCCCCCGCCCCGTCCATCCCACTCCATGGGCCTGGAGCTTGACTGGGAATTTAGTGTGGCCCTGATCACTCCTGCTAGCAATGCAAGATTCGTGGCGAAACATGTTGGCAACTTCGTCATCCCGAGCGCAGTGAAGATCAAGACCGTGCAGGCAGTGCAACGTCAGTGGCGGAATACGTTGGCAAGTTCGGCGCTATGATGATCAAGACCCGCCAGGAGAAGACGACGAAAGCTGGTAACCGTGGGATGTTCGGAAGAGTCGTCATCGTGAAGGCGAGCACTGCAGCGTCAGTGGCGAAATACATCGGTATGTTCGTCATCCTGGGCGCTGTGATGATCAAGACCCGCCAGAAGAAGGCGTCCAAGGCCGGGAGAATCATGGGATCTTCGGCAAGATCGTTATGGTGAGGGCGGTCAAGCGGTCCAAGAAAGAGTCGAAGAGGCCAGAGAAGCCGCGGAGGTCGAAGGCCCGAAGTGCGTGCGCTGTGGCGCCGTGGCCTTGGATCGGCCTGGGCCTCCTCGTCGCCTCTGCTGGGCTCGTCCCAGTGCTTCCTCGTTGCCTCGGCTGGCGTCTCCTCGCTCCTCCCTGGGCTTCCCGGGCCTGGGGCTCCCTCGTCGCCTCGTCGGGTTGCGGGTCGTCTGGCGCCTCGGCGCATTCCCGTGGCGCGCGGCCCGCGCGCCAGCGGCCCGAGTTTCCGCGGGCACGCGGCCCGAGTGCCCGCGTGCCAGCGACGGGAGGACGTGCTGCAGCATCGCTGATGCATCTTGGGGCTTACTCTGGCCCTCCTCCACCTCGTAGTCCTCCCTCCTCCTCTGGCCTTATGCTGCTCCCATCGTAGTTAAGGACCACATCCCCAAAATAGTTAAGTTCGAGCACCCGGAAAAGTGTCGAAAGAGTGTCGAACCAGTGTCGGACGAGTCTCCCAGGGTCCGACACGTGAAAACCCTTGAGTTTTGGGGTACCTTTTCTGGTGTTCGAAATTCTCCCCGGCGATGAAGGCTCAAGCAGGTTGGAACATCATAACTCTGGCCATCATGTTCGGTCTCCTCCTCCTCCTGCTCCCCCCCCTCCTCCTCCTGCTGCTCCTCGTCCTGGCCCTCGGCCGCCGTTCTCTCTTCCGGGCTCTCGGGCCGCCGGCACCGCCAGCCACTGCCATGCCATACCGTGCCTCTCTGTCCCCCTCGTCCTCCTCGTCCTCCTCCTCCTCCTCCTCCTCTTCCTCCTCCTCCTTTTCCTGCTCCTCCTCCTCCTCCGCCTCCTCGTTCTCCTCCTCCATTTCCTCCTCCATTCCTCCTCCTCCTCCTCCTCCTCCTCCTCCTCCTCCTCCTCCTCCTCCTCCTCCTCCTCCTCCTCCCCCTCCCGACCCCTAGCGAGCGTGAAGAGCGGCGGGAAATATCGGGATTGGTGGTCAATGCCAGAGGTCCCCCACGGGCCCCCCCGAGCGACCCTGGGCAAGAGCGGCCTGTGGCGCGCGGCTGTGGATGGCCGCGGGGGCCAAATCCCGGCGCGCAGGCCAGTGGGGGGGGGGGGCCTGTGCAGTGCCACTCTGGCGAAGGGCCTCTCTGACGCGTAATTCGCCGCTCGTCTCGTTTCGCCCCCACCTGGCCTTCAGGAGCGGAACATCCCGGAGGGACAGTGCTGCGGCCATGCGGGCTGGACTGGCTGAGCTCGCGCCACCATCGCGCCCCGCCGGCGGCGACATGCTGACCGGGGGGCGGCGGGACGGGAACGGCGGGGGGGTGGTCAACCACGCGCAGCTCCAGGCGTCGCGAACAGGAGTGAGAAACGTCGCCCGATTTGCGCGCAATTTCGGCCGCTGGAGGCCGCTTTCGGGCCCAGGGACCGCCAGAAAACGACACGCGGAGAAAATCTGGTCACGGGGACGGGAGCGAGAGCTCTGAGTTCTGGGGCCCACGTCGTGAAACAAATGCAGCGTTGGAGATCTGGGGACATGAAGAAAGAGGGAGAGAGAGAGAGAGAGAAACAAAACAATAAAAAGAAAAGAAAAGAAAAGAAAAGCCCGCAAGGCAGCGCCCCAACATGACGCCGGGCCGCGCGCACCGCTCACTTGTACATTAACAAAAGCCTTCCTAATGTTTCCACTACCGTCCAGCGTGCCGTTGGGCGTGCACGTGGCGCCACGGGTACCACTCCAGGAGCCTCTGCCCCCAAAGTCGATCGGAGGTCGACTGAATATGTCCGTGGGGTCGCCTTTGGATGCCCTGGAAATCAAGAACCCAAATATGCACATTATATGTTTGTGCAGTGTCCACAGGTACACAAGCAAAGCGTTTGATGAACGTGACCCAACATTTGTTTGGGAAGCGCTATGTCCCAACATTCATTCTGAGCATCCATCGTTGCGTACGCTGCAGTAGTCGGTGCTGCTCAGCTGTGGTTGCCCATGCCCCAGAGGCCATACAGCACACATGGCGCAACGGATGTCTTCAACAGCGAACAGCCGCAAACGGTGTTGCAATGTGATTCGCCGATTGCAGAAAACGATTGTGTTTTGCGAATGCTGTCCAACCACACCCGCTTATTTTGTGCAGCTCTGTATCTTGTTATGAATCGGCAAACAGTTTACGACCCAAATGCTGCTCAGACTGACAGTGTTGAAACACTCGTACATCATGCCCTGTACACCGTAGACTATCGGGCCTGCAGTCGAGATTCGTCCGGATTAATGTCTCGCCCATGTGGACCCTGAGCCTCCAGGAGGCCCCAAGAGCATCCCGAGGACCCCCTCCCGAGAGAGCAACATCCTTCTAAGACCTAGCGGCTGTGCGCGTTCGATTGGCTCTTGAGGCCTCAACATGGCTTCACAGTTGCCCAATGGGAGCCCCAAGAGGGCACAAGACGGCTCCACGAGCGCACAAGGGCGCTCCACGAGGGCCCCCAAAGAGGCCTGCTGGGTCTCCAACGGGGAGAAGTGAATTCACATCTTCCTCGTTGTCATCGATGGCCTCCAGCATGCCCCCCAAAGCGCCCTCAAGGCTCTCAAGAGAGCCTCAAGAGAGCCCTAAGAAGTCCCAAAGAGGACCCCAAGAGAGACCCAAAGGCGTACAACATGGTCCCAATATGGCCCAAGTAAGCTGGACACAAGCTCCCAAATCGAAAGATCCGCGCGAGAGCATTCATGGTTGACTCCTGGGCCTGCTCAAGCTGATCCCAATCTTCGGTTTGAGGGCCTCTTCCCTTCTTTGTTCCGCTGCGTGCTCGCACACTTCCTTGATTACTGCTCGCCTGGGCATCGTTGCTGGATTGTCTGGTTGGGAAGCGCGGAGCATCAAGCATTTGACTACCCTCGCTGGCATCATGGACAAAGCCAGAAGCAGCGGGCAATGTCGGGCGTCGACGAACGCCGAGCGGGAGAGTCAACACACACACACACACACACGCACAAAGAACAAACACCTACACAAGCACAGACCGCACGCACATACGAACACATCCACACATTGACACACACACACGCACACACACATTAGCACACACACACACACACCCGCACACACCCGCACACACACACGCACACACACACACACACACACACACACACACACACACACACACACACACACACACACACACACACACACACACACACACACACACACACACACACACACACACACACACACACACACACACACACACACACACACACACACACACACACACACACACACACACGCGCGCGCGCGCGCACACGCACACACACACACACACACATACGCATGCACACCTGCACACACACACCACACACGCACACACTCCCCCACACACAGAGACACGCACATACACAAACCTGTCCTCTGGCGTGCCGATCGGTGGCAAACAGCGGATCAAACAACACATACGCACTCAGCCACTGCTGGACTCAAACTATGTAATTCACTCTGGGGCCATGTGCTGGATGAACCGACGGAGAGCTGGTATACCCAATCACAAGGGAAGCGAGCGCTGGAAAAATACATGCGGCAACATGGATGTCGAGCCCTCGTCGAGGCTGGACACGTCATGTCTACTCAGGCTTTTGATATAACTCGCTGCCTGAGAGCTGAATGGACGCGATGGCGACACTGAACAATGAGTCACTAGACAAGGATATGGGTCCAGGTTCCTGAACCGTCGGAGGCCATCCTGGCCCCCCAGACACCCGACATAACAGTTTCTGCTCCTCTGCAAGTCATTGGCACAAACAGCCCAGAGCCTTCCTGCTGCCCCGCTGCCAATTCCTCCCCCCTCCTGTCTCCGAGCGTATGGAAGAATACGGTCGGATTGTGTTTGCATAGCGAGTCGCCACGGCGGCCCCAGCGAGACGCTATGCCCTGCAAGCGAATAGCGTGTCGCTCCGCTCCGCGGGG